TCCTTCGGAATTTTTTGTTGATGCAAATATGGTCTATCTGGTTCTCTGTAGTGTTGTCCGGTGAGATCCATGTAGCCTTGTGTATACGTTTGTGTGAAAATATTGTGCCTCCTATGACCAATTTGTTGAATGCACACAAATTTGCAAATCTTTCTCCATTTTCGTTCCTCTCTCCCAGTCCATGTCGTCCCATAATATCTTCATATCCAGTGTTGTCTATTCCGACCTTGGCATTTAGATCTCCCATCAGAATGGTGAGGTTCTTTCTTGAGCATTTCTCTATGATTGACTGCAGCCGCTCGTAGAATTGATCTTTAATGTCGTCGTTGCTATCATTGGTGGGTGCATAACATTGGATAATATTCATTAAGATCCCCTCCTTCTTTGTTTTGAATGATGCTTTGATGATTCTGGATTCGTGGGATTCCCATCCTACAAGTGCATTTCGTGCTACTTTGGACAGCATTAGAGCAACTCCCTGAGTGTGTGGAGCATTTTCCTCTTCGTGACCGGAGTATAGCAGCATCTCTCCCGTAGCTAGCCTTTTCTGTCCAGCTTGGGTCCAGTGGGTTTCGCTGATTCCCAGTACTGCTAAGTTGTATCTCCTCATTTCCGTTGCTATTTGGCTGGTCTTCCCGGTTTCCCACATTGTTCTAACGTTCCATGTACCTATAAAAATTGTTGCTCTGGTTGTTAGAAGGGGCATCGGCCTCGTGGCTTCCGAAGGAACTCGGCTTTCACCATGAAGCGTCATAATTCTTCTAAATGAAGACCTTCTAACTCTCAGGGCAGAGTTAAAATGGTTTGAATTATTTTTTCTGGTAAGCGTTTTTTTAGCGAGTTAGTTTTCTACGGGATGGGGACGCTAACCCCATGCCCAACCCTCCTCCTTTACCCGGGCTTGGGACCGGCAGTAACTCTAGAAGAGCTACAGGCGGAGTTGGAGAATAACATTTTTCTGATCAATCATTCACTAATGCATTAAGGCTATTAGGTGTCATTAGATTAAGTGTATAGAATTTAGTTTATGAGTTCCTATTCAACAGCTCATATTTTTGTGACAAAGTCAGTTTGCGATTTTAGGCTGGACGTTGACAGGACGGAATAACTGCCATTGCTAAAAAATTTCGAGACGTGATATAATGAAAACTTCCTCATTTTCTGTCCTCATTTAATTAGTGACTGGTTAAATAGAAGGAAGTCACTTATGTCAACAGACATAAGTAGCATACACCACAACAGATAAGTAATTTTGTGATTGCTAACTAGTATAAATCCTTTGTCAATGGAATCTTACCAACTGTGGTATTCCTTGCTCTGATTAATTATAAGCATATTAGTTTGTTGATTTTTAATTTCTCCTATATCAAGTTAATTAGTCAGGCGCATGCAACATAGAACCTGACATATATGTGTATTGGTTACCATATTACATTATTACGAGATGAAATTGTCAAGAGAAAATCCAGGGTCTTAGAAATAGTAACAGCATCAGTGGTAGTAGAGAATATTAAAAAAGTGAAGAAAGTTGGTTTGAAAAGGAGTGATTTCTTGGATTAAAAAATTACGAAGTAATCTTGAAACTCAGGTCTTGGTGAGGCTAATAAGTGAATGTATTTACGCCATTGCAGACAATTCTGATCCTTATCACTTAACATCTCTAAAGATCTATTACCAAAATCGTACGGAACCCAACCAGGAAATCTGTCCCTACATCTATAAGAATTAGTTCGACTATCAATAACTTCTTGAGTTGATGCTAAGTTAACGTAGTACAAAAAATTGAAGAAAATAAACATATTGTTAATACTCTGAAGTTTTATATTTTGCTTTTTCGATTAATGTAAAGTCATGGTATCAAACATAACAACATGCAATTTAATCTACATATTAATTAAAGGTGTAAAAAAAAGTCACCGAAATCTAATTATTTTTCTCTCTCAAGTATTGAAGGGTGTATTTTAAGTCTCTACATTCAAACCCGTTGTTCTCCTCCTTTTGAGTGTTAACGTTTACAATAACCGCACTTATTTTCACAATTGATGTTACTCCTATTCAAGTACCAGTCAATATACCTCAAAAGTTAGCCATTATGCATTGTTATTTGTCTTTGTGTGTTATACATGTATGTATGTGTCAGAGATAGAGAATCATTCGCCTTTCTCTGTGCTTATTTACATTTCGTAATTATGTATTCACCTCAATTTAGAAATTTTTTTTTACTTTCAAGAAAAAAAAGCCAACCTAATTCATTGCTATTTCATCTTCGGATGATATCATCTTCACAGAATATTTTTATATTATTCATTTGTTTCAAATCGACTTGGTTAGTATATGTATATGACCTTGACCTTTATTTTGCAAGTTTAAACCAAGGTTATAACAACTGTCTTATCGGGTCAAATATAACATAAATTCTATGAACTGAAACATCAACATTTTTAATTTTATTCCTTTCGTTTCACCTTGTTCTTTCTTTTTTTCAATGTAAAGATGAATGAATGATTTGGTGATTATACGAAGATGAATCATATTATTCTTTATACTTTATCATGTTATTGTTCTATTACGAATAGTTTTACATTTGTATTACAGGCACATAGTTATTACTTTTGACCTGAGTGTGACCCTAATGGAAAAATTGTATGCGTGATGATGAACAGTTACATGCCTATATATTTGTAGGTATAGCAGTAGTACATTGTTGTATTTCAATAATTGTAATTAATTATGCAACTGTAACATTGCCGCTATATTTCCATGTCAATAAATATTTTTTAGCTTATTTAAATACAAGCATAGATACTTGAAACAATGTAGCCTGACCAAAAAAAGTCAAAATTGTCATACTAAATGAATACTTTTTAACGTTTTGGATATCCTTAAGGTTGAGAAAAGTTTTTTGTCATATTCAATAGCGTTTCCTATACATAAAGAGTTGTATACTTATATTCTTTATAAAAGGATTAATCTCCAATCACTTCTTTCTGTACTACTACTATTATTACTATTGATAATGTTGCTACTTGTACTACTCACTATGTTGATTTAGTATGGCAACGTGAATCGATCCACATAATATGTCAGTTTTCGTATGTTTGACGACTGACTGCAGCCATCTATTTCAATTAAAACGGAAAGGAGATAATGCTATCTGTTACTGAAACATGAACTGTATTCAGTGAGTCCATTTAATAAGGAGTGTTGACTCAGATATATGTAATTATTTGGAACTTGTGTTTTTGATTTCATTCAACTTGACAAACTACTGATGTGAATTGTTAAACTCATACCTTACCGTATGTGGTTTTTCCAAGCAATCTAATCAAATAAAGGAATTCCACTCAATATTATATTTTTGATTAATTTAAACATCGTATGTAAAGTAATTTTAACTGAGAATAATATGAATTCATTTGTTATTTTATTGTTGTGTAATTCTCAACAACCAACTACTTTCAGTCTCTAGACACTTTCAATATTCAATTGTCTAGAATGCAATAGAATTGCATAATATTGTTCTATGATTAAAGCCTATTGTTACGCTATTAGAAAAAAAACTATTAGATAAAACGAACATAAAAGCTATAATTATTGTTTGGAATAGAAGAGAGGAAATCATTCGCACCATCCACTTTACGATTAGCACACCTATATTTTACACTACTGAATTACCACTATTTATACTCAAGAAAGTATGGAATCGGTTAAAAGACGAAATAAAATAAAAAACAGATGGTAAAACCCTAATAAAAGTTTTCAGTGTGAATAAGGCAACCGAAAAGAAACCGGTGAATGGTTAACCAAGTAATGATGTTATGATCAAATAATGAAAATTCCTTATATAGAATAGATGAAATGCAACTAGTAGTGGAATCCAAAACACGCGTCTCATCTTAATTGAAATTCGTCAGCTGAATATACCTGTATCCCAGCCTAAATGTTTATTAGGGTATTCATACCCAGTACTTTCCGTTTCAAGCTCCAGCGCATTGTCCACTTCGCCACTTCTAGCCATATTTCATCTAAACCTATATCATAATGGCTGTAACTAGACAGTCCACACAAGATTCACATATATCATCTTAATCTGATCACATCTCAGTCGAAATATCAATAGCAAGACAATCCAGAGCATTACAAATGAAATTTTTTTAAAAATGTATTGAATTACACTGGTCAGAGAATTAGATTGGAATGTTGTTTTCTTCTTTTTTCCAAATACATAGATAATTATGATTAGTTCCTTTAATGATAATAGACAGTGTACTACTCACTGAATCACATTGCATCTACATTGTTCTTTTCTTAGTTTCTAGATGTCAATATTATGTTATGGATAACTTACATCTTTTGGTTAGTGTAGTCATTACAAACATTTATAGATATCTCTTTGCATTCATATCTGAATCTGTTTCAGCTTATAATTATGCCGTTTGTCTGTGTTTGCTGATTCTGTGAATTCTTCCGATGATAATATAAAAATGCCATATTCTTTATATAAGCATTATTTATTACCTATTCCTAAAGTTGTCGTTATTTTATTCACAGTTCTAATCATTATCGTTATCATCATTGTGTTTAAAGTACAATCAATTTTGTTTAACAGCTTGTATTTTTCTAAGATTAAGGTCAGTTATCACCTCTAGTCAAACATCAAAACTATTTAAATGTTAATTATGATGTGAAAATTCCATGTTAAATGTTTAATTCTCAATACCATTTATTTAATAGTACATGATTTCGCTTGATTATTATAATAAATCATAATGAAATGTTGTATATATATTTCAAAACCAAGTTCCGATAATGTAATAAGAAGACGAAGATTATCATTTGTATTCTTTTATTTCTTTTTCACCCTATTGAATAAACGTATTTATTTTTCCAATGAATTAATTCATTTCCATTTATATTTTTATAATGGTTGAGCTTTTTTGTTAATGCATGAGTAAATGATTATTGTGTTCTTTCTGTCTTCTCCAATCATCATCATTTAGGTTACACTTTGGAAGGAAAATTTAGAAGGAACCTGGATTGCTTTAAGTGAAATTGCACGTGGTGGTCATGATGCATCCGCTTTAATTGGAACTGAAGGGAATAGTCAAACATCAGATCAATCTACAACACAATTGGCTGCTGCTTAACAGTTACCTAATAGGATCTGTGGGCGTGTGTGTATACATGCATGTACTTATGTATATGTATTCGTGTGTCAATGCTCTTGATTCTTTGTCCTGTACACAACTGGTTCATCATTGCTTTTTATTTCACATTGCAATCTATACCTTCTGCCTTCCTGTGCTTCCACTGTTAATGTAGTAATAATATAAGTGAAGATGATTCATTATTATATTTAGTTAAAGCGTTTGCTGTTAACATTTATATGTTGAATGAATAGTTATTATTCACTTTGTGAAATTCTTCGGAAATTTGTACGACTATTTCTAATTACTTCTTTCAAGGGAAATAAATATTCAGCTAAAAACGTTCATATTTATTTTAAACATGTGTTCCACTTTTTTTCATCTTGAAACTTATCAATTCTGAGTTAATTTCTGTTATACAGCTCGTTAAAAACTTTTTCCTCAGAATGCTTGAGACCAACTTATAGTTAGATGTAATCAAAGTGATCTAACTAACATAGATACGTACATATGTATTTATGAGAAATTACATTGTGCTCAAATTGCTAATGTCTTATTCACGACTCCAAATAACTATTAATTCGATAGCATGAGACAAAAGATAATCAATTTTCCAAAAGTTAACTATCTATCATAAAGGTGGTCAGTACTTGCGCCTCTATTTTACTAGATGACATTAATATCTTTTATTGTTTACGGTTGTCACTATGTAAAACTTAACACGAATGTGACCATTAGCCGGCAAGTGTATAATAGTCTGTTTGTAAACCGTTATCAACAATAACCCAGTTATAGACTAATTCTAGTTGATGATCAGGTGCTTGCGACTATGTACGCTTCAAAACTCATTATAAATAGATGAGTGGAGATCTAATACATGTACTGTTAGTCTACTATTAGCATAACCCTTGTCTATATTAATTTACTTCAAAACCTAAGTTAAACACCGAATGACATTTGACTCTGCTTGATAAAAAGGCACAATTAGGCGTTGACATATTCGTCCTCTGCTTCTCATCGTCAATTAAATTTCTAATTACTTTTATTAAAATCCTGTACAATGTAATGGTATATCGGCTATTCAATTAGTAATCGTGGATTTTAGCTTTGAATACTTATAGTATCCAGTTTGTAATCGGAAGTATCTTTCATCCTATTACAGTCCAGTAAATAAATCAAAATCATGCTATTAATAAGATTTAAAAAATCTGGCTTTTTGCGATCATTGCCAAGAATACACACACCAAAAAAGAGTAACATAATTCAGTGATATTCCAAGAATTTATCCTAACTCGGGTAGGCAGTTTTTATCACGAATCGATATCCCCCAGAGAACAGTTGTATACGATTGAAACTTTGTAGAGTTATTTTTGTGAAAGCATATTTAGCTCAAAACCTTCAGGAAGTAAAACTAACTCTTAACCAGTTTATGAATAAATTGGTGAAGCACTCTTTAGGTGTGGAAAGGAATAAATATGCTCTTTACTTTTTGACTTGAAATGTTAAGAACCCTTAGATTATCTTCAGGACTCCGGAAAATGTGACTCCTATTATTTAGTCTCCTGGTATTTGACAACTTTAAACTTTTTAGTAACTATATACTGGTAATTTTTACTTGTTTCTTAATTAACTTTCAATAAGATGCAGGCTACCGATCTTTACGTTTCAGTTTTTGTTCAAAAATCTTATGAACTCTATCGAAACTGATTGGTTAGTCATAAAAGTGTATTTTCACCGTTATTTCTTCCTATTTTAAAGGTACTAAAATTTGTTCATTCACAGTCCCACATTAAATTTTTTTATTGAGCATTATACCATTCACTCGACAGGTTGCGTTCTATTAACTATCATTTTCAAATACATCCCATTTAGCTTCCTTACACGATCATCAATACATTCAAATATTTCAATTCAGATTTAATTTATTCTACAATTTGCTACTTTTCAGCCTCAAGCAAACCAAGTTATTCGTCATTTTGAGATTTGTTTCTAAACCATTTAATTACAACACTTGCAACTGTCATGTATATGATGTTAACTTTCTGTAAAACTTGTTTTGAAGTATGGTAAGTTTTTAAAGAATCTGTAAGATTTTGAATGATACTAATTACCATCCATTGTCATCAATTTTAAAATATATATATTGGTTGTAAGTGACCAGTTACCATAGCAACTAGGGATTTATTTGTTTTCTGGATTGAAACCAGAAAAGAAATATGAAGGTGTATGTTTTTATTCTGATTGATTAATTTGTTGAGAGGTTTGAAATGTGTTTTGTATATGCTGTTACTTTCATGTGACCTTAGGTAATTTGTGATGTGTTGTTTGTCCTCTCTTTCTTCCTTTTGGTTTACTTCTATACCGAAATTAATGAGACGTATTAATATACATATATATATATAGCTTCACTTTGAGATGCATATTTCAGTATTCGCATCCTCCCTTGTGAAATCTTTTGCAAACACCATCAAAGTTTGAGGGTAAATATGAATTCGTATTCGTTATTGCGAATAGCGACACCCGCATTCATTATTTTTAAATGTCAAACTTATTTTTGGATTTTCGAAGACCTATTATTCTACTGAAACAATAAACAGACTTTTGAATATCATGGATGGTCGCAAAGATAACAGGAGGCAGTTAATCATGAGTGATCATTTGGTTAGTCTTTTCTTTTCTTCTTTGCTTGCCTTACTCATCAGTAAAATATTTCTTAACGATCTTTAGATGTTATCAATGATTTGTCCTTCATCAATGTAAAATATTAACATGTACTTCTTGAACTTCGAACAGCTTCTTAGAGGAGTGTTTTGAATAGACTGTCAATAATTGCCTGATAGACAAAATTTTTTAATGATTCTTTACACTTTAATTCATATTTGTGAAGGTTGTGATTGGTTATATTCCTTTTAAAAGGTCATATAGTTTTAATTTCATTATATTCTTTGATAAACACAATTTCTTGATATAGATTTTATTGAAGACGAAACTAAAGTCTATTGTAATCATCTGACAACCGTATAATATATGCACATAAATATAATGAAATATTTCACAAGTTTGATATGGTTTTCATGCTGTCTTACATAATACTTCCTTACGCCTGTCACCCCTCATGAATGAGCCTGGACCACCCACCAGCATTTTCCATCGAACTCTGTTTCGGACAATTCTTCCCAGTTGCTGTTTGTCCTTTTCGTATCTGCTTCCAGTTCCCGGCGCAATATGTTCTTTGATCTTCCGCTTTTCCGTTTCCCTTCAGGATTTCAAGTTAGCGCTTGTCTCGTGATGCAGTTTGATATTTTCCTCAATGTATGTCCTATACACCTTCATTATCTTTTCCTAATTTCCTCTTCATATGGAAGCTGATTTGTTCTCTCCCACAGTAGAATGTTGCTGATGGTATCCGACTAACGGACATTGAGTATATTGTGTAGACAATTGTTTATAAATACTTATACATTTTTGATGATAGTTGTGATAGTTCTCCAAGTTTCGGCTTCGTACATTAAAACTGTCTTGACGTCCGTGTTGGAGATTCTGACTTTGATGTTGATTGTTTTGAGTTCCATATGTTCTTCAACCGTAGGAATGCTATTCTTGCTTTGCCAATCCTTGGTTTTACGTCTGCATTAGATCCTCCTTGTCCATCGATAATGCTGTCCCGATAGGTACGTGGATGACTGTACCTCATCCAGAGCTTCTTCATCAAGTGTGATTGAGCTGGTGTTCTCTGTGTTGTATTTGAGTATGTTGCTTTTCACTTGTGTATGTTGAGGCCTACTGATGCATGGTGAGCAAATTAATGTAAAATAAACTCCGTATGTATGATGGAATAGTAATTCCTTAGATATTAGGGCAAGCTTTTTCACTTTTAACTGAAGGTCCTCATATAGGAAGTCACTTAATGTTTTGAATGTTGACTGTCTTTTGATCTATTTAAAATTTTCCTGACTGTAGTTGGACAGAATAATTAGCAAGGTTATTTTCTACAGGATAGGGTTACTGCCCCCATGCCCAACCATTCTCCCTCACTCGAGCTTTGGATCAACAGTAACCCTAGAAGAGCTACAGGTGGTGTGTTTGTATAGGGTTTAAACTTTCGTGTTTTTATCTGATATTTTTTTAATTATTTCTACTCCCTTAAATCTTCCAGTAATATGAGCCCATATATTGGACAAATTGCCTTTGAATTATAAATGATAATTCTAATGATCACATTTTCTAATATCAATAATTTGAACAATACTGATTACCGTAATCAATACTCTTTTAATCTTAAAATTAATATTCTCCATTTTAATAAATACAAATTAATTGACTGAAAATTAAAACTAATAAAAGTTCCTCAATGAGTTAAATACAGTAAAAAAATTATATTAATTTTGGTAATTGAACAGAGTGTTAGAAATGAAATAAATTATAGAAAATTTTGAATTGATTAATATACAGTTGGTTTTTTGTTATTACTTAGCATAAGAATCAAAATGAAATAACACTCTTAATTGATTAGTGTTTTCGATCAACTTTACATGAAGATTAGATCCAAAAAATGATGTTCGTTTTTTTTTCATTTTATATTGTTTGTTTGAATCTTCTTATTGATGTTTGGGACTACAATTGATCAGTCTCTTATTGGTATATGTGCATTTTGTTCGTATTGCCTCATAAGCATTATAAGTGAAGATGGATGGATATACCTGCGTCTTATAGTTGATGTTCACTCTTGGACTCGAACCTAGTAGCGTTCGCGTCGAACGCCATCACGTTATCCATTTAGCTACTGAGTCCTGATAGCCAATTGCTTGTAAAATGGGGTGAAGTTTAAATTTACTTGGTATTGTTTACTTGAATCTTCCCATTAATGTTTAGGACGTCAATTTGTTTTTATTTTATTCTCTTTATCTCATTGCGATCAAGTCTTAGTTCTCTATAAGCGAATATAGAATAGATGCTAAGTATTGAAAATTCATTAACAGAATAACCTACTTCTTAAGCTTGGTCTCTGCTTTCATTCATCTTTTGGGATGTTCCATGACATGTTAAGAAGGTTCCTAATACATTAAGGATTGAAAATTTCTTCAATATTTTTCATCCTTCAGCTGTTAAACTGAATGTGATGGACGTTCAGAAACTGAATGATAACAAACCAATGTGTAACTCTATTTAATTAATGAGGAATTTCGAATCAAAGGAAGATAAATTTGACAACAGTATACTATAGAAAGCATAGAAGAAATGCTTTCTAATTTGTTTGCATCATGTGAAATACGTTGATGTATATTGCCAATAATGAGAAAAATCATTATTTTCATCTTTTATCACTGCTAAACTTTACACAATTAGTATTTTTATCACATTCTATCTACAGATTTGAATTTCTAAAAATATTTTCAATCATGAAACTTATCAATGTGACCTAGTAACTATTAATCCGTGTAGATATGTCATTAGATTTCTACCATTGACACTGTTACTACCTCTATTATTCAGGGATTTGGCTTGATAACATCTCTCTGTGCTAATGGTTTCTAACAACTTGGAGCGT